ATACGTTGTCTTGTACTTCCTTAATCGATGTTCATGGATACCAGCTCGCATGTGTACCCGTAGGGTGATAACCTCGGGCCCTTTGATGCGAAAAGAATGCTTACTTAACACCATTAAGCTGAGGTGCGTTACTTACCTGGAAGTGGTCAGCCCAAGGTAAATCAATCACGTATAATTCACAAATGGTATATATAAAGGACGGGGGAAACTGTTCCATCATCTCTTATCTTCACCTGCCGTTGAGACACAGATACGAGTAAAGACCAAACTGCAAGTACTAATTTAAATTTTGCTTGTGATATATATGTATACTTTTAATTTTTGATTCATCTGCTGCGCATCAGGCTGTTTTCAATCTTTATGTTGAGCCAATTCATAAAAGTCCGAATATGTAACATAAGACGTTCTTGTAAATTGAGAAATATATGAATGCGGGTGAAAGCAAAACTGATAACATAATTCACAATGAGTGGTGTGAACTGAATTTACCAGATGAGTAACGATAACATGCTATTTTACCTTTCTTGACAATAATTTTCCCGTTACTCAATAGATACTCAAAATGATGAAGATAGTCGCCGCTCTTGTTGCCTGCCTGGCTGTTACCGCCTTTGCCGAGCCTACCGGTCTGTATGGTGGAATTGGCGGGTTGAAAGGAGGACTGGGCGGAATTGGCTACGGAATGGGTGGATTGTACGGAGGCCTTGGAGGTCTTGGAGGTCTTGGAGGCTATGGAGGTCTATACGGAGGCATGGGAGGTCTATACGGAGGCATGGGAGGTATATACGGAGGCATGGGAGGTCTATACGGAGGCAAATACGGATACGGCATGGGAGGTCTGTACGGAGGACTCGGGGGCTATGGTGGTCTCTACGGAATGGGAGGATACGGAATTGGATTGGGAAAAGGTATTTCACAAAATATGATATCATTTGTTTATCGTATCCGTAAATATACCTCCAGTCTCGTTTGCAAAATTGCATAATTTACCTATGTGGTATTACTATTTTCAGCGACAAAGCTGATGACATTTACAAAACATCTTTAAAACTATTCTCTGCTTTCTCTAATATTTGGTATAGTTTATCATGCAGCTAGTTTCAAGACTTCGTTGTGACTTATCCATACATCCCAACTTTATTCTACTATTTTTTTGTTTCAGGTATCGGCTATTATTGAGTTATTATCACCTGCAGTGTGATGCTGGCTATTTATGTATTTTCTCAAACCAATGGAATTGGTTCAATAAAATCTTGTCATATTTATTTACGCCTTGAAATTTGTTTGAAAATCTTAATCTGAATTGAATGTTCACAATGGAAGAGTGATCTATGTTTCTCCATATTGTAAACTCTGGACATAGTACGTGTTATCGACCAATATCCAAGCACACTTCAATGATATTGCGTTTTACTGCTAGCTAAGATATCAACTACTGAAATGTGCTATTAAGTTCCTGAAGAAACCGGACATGATGATAAGAGGAGGGATTTTATGCTTGATATATCTCCCACCAAATATCACTTACCCGAGTTCATGTTTCACGGGAATGTATCATTTGGGCTGCCAGGAAAGGGTTTGATGGCCATTTGAAGTACCATAATATCTGGAATTGGCTGTCTGTATTTCAATTTGCATTTTAAAAACATGCAGCGAAACAAATAAGCAGGCGTGTCAATTTTTGTCAAAGCAGTCATTGACGGTATCAAGGGGTAGACAGTGTGCACTGTATTGAAATGCAAATGTGTGCGCTGTCCTTGAAAATGAGCGAAAGTTGTATTCAGAATACAATCTACATGTTGTTATGGCGCTTTGTATAAATAATATCTGAGCTGCTGCAATAAAACAAACCCGAAAGCCATAGTGATGTAGAGCATCAAAACAAATGTTGCAAGATTCTTACTGCTTTGGTTAGAAGGGAATGCATACAGTTGGAATTTCCATGACAATAACATATCTTTACAGTTTATCAATTACACAAACAAAACGATTGAATTCAAAAATATCTATTAAATACGCTTTTCCGGGTATAGCTTATCAAACTACGAATTATTTGTAATTTCCATCAAACATGTACTTCTTGATTTGATGATGCAATTTAACATTTTGCATACTGCTTATGTAATTAATAGGAGAAGTATCATATAGATAGTTAGTTGTGTGTTTACTAACCATCTCCCTGTAGGCGCTATTTGTAAAATACATATTGATTAAATCAGAGCGCGAATTTGAAGATTCCGAACTGGATTGGTAGGATTGAAGATTACAATGAACAAACAAATAGCTAATATATCCCTTTTGTTTGATCACAAAGCAGAAGTGACAATCATTTATCAATACAAAGGAGATTGCATTTGGTAACTGTAGAGAGTGAAATTCAGCGGAATAAATGGTCCAACTTTAAAGCGTGTCATAAGTCTTTATAACAACAACCAGACTGTAAAAACAAGTCGTTTAATCATGTCTATCTTTGAAAACACCTTTGTGTTATACTTTAAGAGCATTTTCTTCTGAAAACACACGTCTTTACTTTTAGATGTACGGTTTTTCTGGGCAACCCTTATATAGTTACACATTGTCAAACTGATTTGCGCGTGTTTTATTCTTGGTAAGAGTTTTGGTCTAAACACGCCTTAAAAGAACACAATCATCACTATCACTACTGCTTCATCATGTCAAGGGCATACGTAAAGGGTAGAGACGATTTATATACTTTCTTCTAATGTTTACGACCTAAGACTCAGCCGAAGATTAAAACACGTTAAAGTGAGTTATTTGCAACAGTGATTAAGTATATATGCAAAAGTATGAATGGCTGAGACATTGTCAAAAGACAACATTCTCCCAATTTGGCACACGATGGAACGGACGGAGGAGCTCATGAAACATCCAACAAATATGAACTATTCACTAACACCTGGTGACATCACTGATATTCAGTATACATTTTAGCACAATCTTGCCTTTTACACCCAATGAAATCTGTTTCAACAGATAATCGAGCCTGAATATTCTCTGTCGTTGACGATTTATGTAGTTAAAGGGTCATCATTGAATGATTATTATATCAATATTCAGGCGTTATCTATAAAAATTGAGATATCAAATTTAGTGATGCTCGTATTATCACAAATTCCTTGATAATGAAGTGTACAATTACCAAGATGATATGTTGAAGATAAGAGAGTTCTCTCAAGAAACGCAGTTGCAAATAAACGCCACAAAACCCTTTTCAGAATCATTCGAAAGCTCTGCTCGAAGCAGAGGCCATTGTACGATTCCGACTATAATGATCACAGCATGTGCGTATGAATGACTATCAGATAGTGGATTCCGGGGTAGAATAGGTCTTCAGCAACCCATGCTTGCCGTAAAAGGTGACTATGCTTGTCGTAAAAGGCGACTAACGGGATCGGGTGGTCAGGCTCGCTGACTTGGTTGATGCATGTCATCGATCCCAATTGGGTGGATCGATGCTAATGATTTTAATCACTGGATTGTCTGGTCCAGACTCGATTATTTACAGACCGCCGTCATATAGCAGTAATATATTGCTGAGTGCAGCGTTAAACAACCAACCAACCAACTAACCAATCAGATAGTGATGATACCTGGCGGTTGCCAAAAAGTAAGCGTATCCTGCCCCATCGGTTCTACCGTCACAAACACATACAAAGACAAGTCAACAAAGACGAGAAAACAAGCTGTTGTTCATATGTCAATCATGTTTTCAGAAGACACTGGTGTACTTTCGGCTTTTAACAGATACTACACACATATAAAGGTGTTGTGAGTATTCATAGTGACAGTCCCTTTGTGAGAAGAAACCAATATATGTCCCTTTCAGTTAGGAAATAAAGCTGTTGTAGTTTATAGTTATTGTGCAGTAAGATAAATAAAATTCGGGGAGAATAATGTAGTATCTGGGGACTTCTGCAGTATATTCAGCAGAAGCTATTTTCTTGTGAGCAGGCTGCTGTATTACACGGAGACAGTTAGCATAGTTGACCTCGTGTGGTACAGTGCTACTGCTGTATTGTGGCGAGGCTGTACTGGTGTGTTGCATCAGTTTTCTGGTCTCATGTTATGTCGTATCACACAGATGCATGAAAATGTCTGATGTATGTTGCTCCCACATCATATATTTACTGGATACACACTTTTCAGACCATTATCGAATATTTACTTAATATAGGTTAAAGTGAGTGAGTGAGTATGGTTTTACGCCGCTTTTAGCAATATTCCAGCAATATCACGGCGGCGGACACCAGCAATGGGCTACACACATTGTACCCATGTCGGAAATCGAACCCGTGTCTTCGGCGTAACGAGCGAACGCTTTAACCACTAGGCTACCCGACCGCCCCTAAATAATATAGGTTAAACATTGAGTATCGAGGACTGTTTGAAATGCAGTTCGACGATGCCAGAGAGAGTGTGTCTGTCTGCCACCTTTATATACGTTGTCTTGTACTTCCTTAATCGATGTTCATGGATACCAGCTCGCATGTGTACCCGTAGGGTGATAACCTCGGGCCCTTTGATGCGAAAAGAATGCTTACTTTACACCATTAAGCTGAGGTGCGTTACTTACCTGGAAGTGGCCAGCCCAAGGTAAATCAATCACGTATAATTCACAAATGGTATATATAAAGGACGGGGGAAACTGTTCCATCATCTCTTATCTTCACCTGCCGTTGAGACACAGATACGAGTAAAGACCAAACTGCAAGTACTAATTTAAATTTTGCTTGTGATATATATGTATACTTTTAATTTTTGATTCATCTGCTGCGCATCAGGCTGTTTTCAATCTTTATATTGAGCCAATTCATAAAAGTCCGAATATGTAACATGAGACGTTCTTGTAAATTGAGAAATATATGAATGCGGGTGAAAGCAAAACTGATAACATAATTCACAATGAGTGGTGTGAACTGAATTTACCAGATGAGTAACGATAACATGCTATTTTACCTTTCTTGACAATAATTTGCCCGTTACTCAATAGATACTCAAAATGATGAAGATAGTCGCCGCTCTTGTTGCCTGCCTGGCTGTTACCGCCTTTGCCGAGCCTACCGGTCTGTATGGTGGAATTGGCGGGTTGAAAGGAGGACTGGGCGGAATTGGCTACGGAATGGGTGGATTGTACGGAGGCCTTGGAGGTCTTGGAGGTCTTGGAGGCTATGGAGGTCTATACGGAGGCATGGGAGGTCTATACGGAGGCATGGGAGGTATATACGGAGGCATGGGAGGTCTATACGGAGGCAAATACGGATACGGCATGGGAGGTCTGTACGGAGGACTCGGGGGCTATGGTGGTCTCTACGGAATGGGAGGATACGGAATTGGATTGGGAAAAGGTATTTCACAAAATATGATATCATTTGTTTATCGTATCCTTAAATATACCTCCAGTCTCGTTTGTAAAATTGCATAATTTACCTATGTGGTATTACTATTTTCAGCGACAAAGCTGATGACATTTACAAAACATCTTTAAAACTATTCTCTGCTTTCTCTAATATTTGGTATAGTTTATCATGCAGCTAGTTTCAAGACTTCGTTGTGACTTATCCATACATCCCAACTTTATTCTACTATTTTTTTGTTTCAGGTATCGGCTATTATTGAGTTATTATCACCTGCAGTGTGATGCTGGCTATTTATGTATTTTCTCAAACCAATGGAATTGGTTCAATAAAATCTTGTCATATTTATTTACGCCTTGAAATTTGTTTGAAAATCTTAATCTGAATTGAATGTTCACAATGGAAGAGTGATCTATGTTTCTCCATATTGTAAACTCTGGACATAGTACGTGTTGTCGACCAATATCCAAGCACACTTCAATGATATTGCGTTTTACTGCTAGCTAAGATATCAACTACTGAAATGTGCTATTAAGTTCCTGAAGAAACCGGACATGATGATAAGAGGAGGGATTTTATGCTTGATATATCTCCCACCAAATATCACTTACCCGAGTTCATGTTTCACGGGAATGTATCATTTGGGCTGCCAGGAAAGGGTTTGATGGCCATTTGAAGTACCATAATATCTGGAATTGGCTGTCTGTATTTCAATTTGCATTTTAAAAACATGCAGCGAAACAAATAAGCAGGCGTGTCAATTTTTGTCAAAGCAGTCATTGACGGTATCAAGGGGTAGACAGTGTGCACTGTATTGAAATGCAAATGTGTGCGCTGTCCTTGAAAATGAGCGAAAGTTGTATTCAGAATACAATCTACATGTTGTTATGGCGCTTTGTATAAATAATATCTGAGCTGCTGCAATAAAACAAACCCGAAAGCCATAGTGATGTAGAGCATCAAAACAAATGTTGCAAGATTCTTACTGCTTTGGTTAGAAGGGAATGCATACAGTTGGAATTTCCATGACAATAACATATCTTTACAGTTTATCAATTACACAAACAAAACGATTGAATTCAAAAATATCTATTAAATACGCTTGTCCGGGTATAGCTTATCAAACTACGAATTATTTGTAATTTCCATCAAACATGTACTTCTTGATTTGATGATGCAATTTAACATTTTGCATACTGCTTATGTAATTAATAGGAGAAGTATCATATAGATATTTAGTTGTGTGTTTACTAACCACCTTCCCTGTAGGCGCTATTTGTAAAATACATATTGATTAAATCAGAGCGCGAATTTGAAGATTCCGAACTGGATTGGTAGGATTGAAGATTACAATGAACAAACAAATAGCTAATATATCCCTTTTGTTTGATTACAAAGCAGAAGTGACAATCATTTATCAATACAAAGGAGATTGCATTTGGTAACTGTAGAGAGTGAAATTCAGCGGAATAAATGGTCCAACTTTAAAGCGTGTCATAAGTCTTTATAACAACAACCAGACTGTAAAAACAAGTCGTTTGATCATGTCTATCTTTGAAAACACCTTTGTGTTATACTTTAAGAGCATTTTCTTCTGAAAACACACGTCTTTACTTTTAGATGTACGGTTTTTCTGGGCAACCCTTATATAGTTACACATTGTCAAACTGATTTGCGCGTGTTTTATTCTTGGTAAGAGTTTTGGTCTAAACACGACTTAAAAGAACACAATCATCACTATCACTACTGCTTCATCATGTCAAGGGCATACGTAAAGGGTAGAGACGATTTATATACTTTCTTCTAATGTTTACGACCTAAGACTCAGCCGAAGATTAAAACACGTTAAAGTGAGTTATTTGCAACAGTGATTAAGTATATATGCAAAAGTATGAATGGCTGAGACATTGTCAAAAGACAACATTCTCCCAATTTGGCACACGATGGAACGGACGGAGGAGCTCATGAAACATCCAACAAATATGAACTATTCACTAACACCTGGTGACATCACTGATATTCAGTATACATTTTAGCACAATCTTGCCTTTTACACCCAATGAAATCTGTTTCAACAGATAATCGAGCCTGAATATTCTCTGTCGTTGACGATTTATGTAGTTAAAGGGTCATCATTGAATGATTATTATATCAATATTCAGGCGTTATCTATAAAAATTGAGATATCAAATTTAGTGATGCTCGTATTATCACAAATTCCTTGATAATGAAGTGTACAATTACCAAGATGATATGTTGAAGGTAAGAGAGTTCTCTCAAGAAACGCAGTTGCAAATAAACGCCACAAAACCCTTTTCAGAATCATTCGAAAGCTCTGCTCGAAGCAGAGGCCATTGTACGATTCCGACTATAATGATCACAGCATGTGCGTATGAATGACTATCAGATAGTGGATTCCGGGGTAGAATAGGTCTTCAGCAACCCATGCTTGCCGTAAAAGGTGACTATGCTTGTCGTAAAAGGCGACTAACGGGATCGGGTGGTCAGGCTCGCTGACTTGGTTGATGCATGTCATCGATCCCAATTGGGTGGATCGATGCTAATGATTTTAATCACTGGATTGTCTGGTCCAGACTCGATTATTTACAGACCGCCGTCATATAGCAGTAATATATTGCTGAGTGCAGCGTTAAACAACCAACCAACCGACTAATTAATCAGATAGTGATGATACCTGGCGGTTGCCAAAAAGTAAGCGTATCCTGCCCCATCGGTTCTACCGTCACAAACACATACAAAGACAAGTCAACAAAGACGAGAAAACAAGCTGTTGTTCATATGTCAATCATGTTTTCAGAAGACACTGGTGTACTTTCGGCTTTTAACAGATACTACACACATATAAAGGTGTTGTGAGTATTCATAGTGACAGTCCCTTTGTGAGAAGAAACCAATATATGTCCCTTTCAGTTAGGAAATAAAGCTGTTGTAGTTTATAGTTATTGTGCAGTAAGATAAATAAAATTCGGGGAGAATAATGTAGTATCTGGGGACTTCTGCAGTATATTCAGCAGAAGCTATTTTCTTGTGAGCAGGCTGCTGTATTACACGGAGACGGTTAGCATAGTTGACCTCGTGTGGTACAGTGCTACTGCTGTATTGTGGCGAGGCTGTACTGGTGTGTTGCATCAGTTTTCTGGTCTCATGTTATGTCGTATCACACAGATGCATGAAAATGTCTGATGTATGTTGCTCCCACATCATATATTTACTGGATACACACTTTTCAGACCATTATCGAATATTTACTTAATATAGGTTAAAGTGAGTGAGTGAGTATGGTTTTACGCCGCTTTTAGCAATATTCCAGCAATATCACGGCGGCGGACACCAGCAATGGGCTACACACATTGTACCCATGTCGGAAATCGAACCCGTGTCTTCGGCGTAACGAGCGAACGCTTTAACCACTAGGCTACCCGACCGCCCCTAAATAATATAGGTTAAACATTGAGTATCGAGGACTGTTTGAAATGCAGTTCGACGATGCCAGAGAGAGTGTGTCTGTCTGCCACCTTTATATACGTTGTCTTGTACTTCCTTAATCGATGTTCATGGATACCAGCTCGCATGTGTACCCGTAGGGTGATAACCTCGGGCCCTTTGATGCGAAAAGAATGCTTACTTTACACCATTAAGCTGAGGTGCGTTACTTACCTGGAAGTGGCCAGCCCAAGGTAAATCAATCACGTATAATTCACAAATGGTATATATAAAGGACGGGGGAAACTGTTCCATCATCTCTTATCTTCACCTGCCGTTGAGACACAGATACGAGTAAAGACCAAACTGCAAGTACTAATTTAAATTTTGCTTGTGATATATATGTATACTTTTAATTTTTGATTCATCTGCTGCGCATCAGGCTGTTTTCAATCTTTATATTGAGCCAATTCATAAAAGTCCGAATATGTAACATAAGACGTTCTTGTAAATTGAGAAATATATGAATGCGGGTGAAAGCAAAACTGATAACATAATTCACAATGAGTGGTGTGAACTGAATTTACCAGATGAGTAACGATAACATGCTATTTTACCTTTCTTGACAATAATTTTCCCGTTACTCAATAGATACTCAAAATGATGAAGATAGTCGCCGCTCTTGTTGCCTGCCTGGCTGTTACCGCCTTTGCCGAGCCTACCGGTCTGTATGGTGGAATTGGCGGGTTGAAAGGAGGACTGGGCGGAATTGGCTACGGAATGGGTGGATTGTACGGAGGCCTTGGAGGTCTTGGAGGTCTTGGAGGCTATGGAGGTCTATACGGAGGCATGGGAGGTCTATACGGAGGCATGGGAGGTATATACGGAGGCATGGGAGGTCTATACGGAGGCAAATACGGATACGGCATGGGAGGTCTGTACGGAGGACTCGGGGGCTATGGTGGTCTCTACGGAATGGGAGGATACGGAATTGGATTGGGAAAAGGTATTTCACAAAATATGATATCATTTGTTTATCGTATCCTTAAATATACCTCCAGTCTCGTTTGTAAAATTGCATAATTTACCTATGTGGTATTACTATTTTCAGCGACAAAGCTGATGACATTTACAAAACATCTTTAAAACTATTCTCTGCTTTCTCTAATATTTGGTATAGTTTATCATGCAGCTAGTTTCAAGACTTCGTTGTGACTTATCCATACATCCCAACTTTATTCTACTATTTTTTTGTTTCAGGTATCGGCTATTATTGAGTTATTATCACCTGCAGTGTGATGCTGGCTATTTATGTATTTTCTCAAACCAATGGAATTGGTTCAATAAAATCTTGTCATATTTATTTACGCCTTGAAATTTGTTTGAAAATCTTAATCTGAATTGAATGTTCACAATGGAAGAGTGATCTATGTTTCTCCATATTGTAAACTCTGGACATAGTACGTGTTGTCGACCAATATCCAAGCACACTTCAATGATATTGCGTTTTACTGCTAGCTAAGATATCAACTACTGAAATGTGCTATTAAGTTCCTGAAGAAACCGGACATGATGATAAGAGGAGGGATTTTATGCTTGATATATCTCCCACCAAATATCACTTACCCGAGTTCATGTTTCACGGGAATGTATCATTTGGGCTGCCAGGAAAGGGTTTGATGGCCATTTGAAGTACCATAATATCTGGAATTGGCTGTCTGTATTTCAATTTGCATTTTAAAAACATGCAGCGAAACAAATAAGCAGGCGTGTCAATTTTTGTCAAAGCAGTCATTGACGGTATCAAGGGGTAGACAGTGTGCACTGTATTGAAATGCAAATGTGTGCGCTGTCCTTGAAAATGAGCGAAAGTTGTATTCAGAA